CCCTTCATCTGCAAGTTCATCATCATCATTATCTCCTTCTTCTTCTTCTTCTTCTTCTTCGTCAGCTTTTACTTCAATATGTGATGTACTATCAATTTCTTCTTCATCAACCCATTCTAATTTACGATTTTCTGTTGCTGCAGCATCCTACGTAAAAAAAAAAAAGAAAAGAAATTTTCTATTTTAAATTACAAAAGAAATCATTTTTACTTCAATCCAATCAAGTGATCGAAGAGATTCAAATATATATCCCATAATTTTACTAATATGAGTCGTATTAAATTCATTTTTCAATACTCGACTAGCTGCTCCACCAAGAGCAAATCTAAATAAATAAAAGAAACAATACCAAAAAAAAACAAACAAAAGAAGTTCCTCTCTTTTTATATTTTCATTTGCTTACATAGCTGAACGAAATTCAGGTTCATCAATTTCACTATATAAATTAAGTGAAAATTCTAATGCTTGTAATAAAATTGTTTTACAATGATCAGTTCCAACTGCACGACAAAGTGAAGCAAGTGTATCTTAATACAATTTAATTATATTAAAATATATTTCAATTCTTAAAAAAATTCTTACGAAGTGATGTGCAAAATACTGGTAATGTTTCTGTATTTGGTTTTTGACTTAGATTAGGTGAAAGTTGAGTTATAACTGTATCAAGATATGGAGCAAATTTATCTTTCATAACAATTGCTAAAATATGAAATAAAAATTTTCAAATAAAATAATATTTATTAAAATATTTATACCAATAGCTGGATAAACAGCCAATACTAATTCTCGAACTTTTGTATTTGTTGTTGAAGAATGTACATGAAATAGAACTCGAAGAACATCATGAATTGAATTTTTATGTTCATCATCTAAAATTTTAATAATTAATGATTAATTAAAATTAAACTATTGTCTTTTTATCTTACTTAAAACTCCAATAAGTTCTTCAACAGCATAATAAATTCGTATAACTTTAAGATTATGATTTTGCATATTTTCTGATTTAACCATAAGTTCCATTAGAATAGGTAAAATTTCTACTGAATATTTTGAAATTTCACCCTATCAAAAAAACAAAAAAAAGAAATTGAAAATTCCATACAAAAAATCAAAAAATTTTACTTCTAAAACAGCACATGTTTCACCTAATGCTAGAAGAGCTGCACTTGATACATCGGAATTTACATCTTGTAGACCAATTTTAAGTGCTGTCATAAATGGTTCAAGATAACTACAAAATTTTATAAAAAAATCGAAAAATAATAATCATAGAAAGTTTTTTTTGTACTTGTTATTAATATAATCACAACAACCATCAATGATACCCGAAAGAACATAATAGGCAGCTTTACGTTCATTTGCAACGTTACTTTTTAACAGCGGTTCAATTTGAGAAATCTATAAAAACTTTTTTCCTAACAAAAAAAAATTTTTTTTGTTATTTAAAAAAACTAACCACTAATGGTACAAATTTTTCTGGTGATAAATGATAAGACATAGCTTCAAGCACATGATTAGCACCAGCAACGACAACAGGTTCATCATTATCATCATCATTACCATCATCAGAAATATTATTTGTATCAATATTTGCTGAACTAATTATTTGAAGTAATGCTTGAATTATTGGTGGGAGTATTGTTTGATGTTTTAATAAAGTTTTTTTCTTTTGTCGACATATTTCAGCTAATATACTTAAAGCATTATAACGTACTGATTCAAGAATAGTATTATCATCTCTTAAAGCAACCTATAAATAAATAATTCAATAGAAAGAAAAAGATCCTATTGAATAAGATGATCATCCTTCATATGAAAAGCTATCTGTACTCTTCTGTACAGCAACTCGTAGCGCATCGAATGATATGTACATATAGGAAGTTGTATTTTCACATTCTGAATAATCATATGCCAATTAAGAGACATTGTAACGATTGTGAGTAGTATAATCGAATGTTATGACTTAGTATGTCTTCAAAACAATCTATATCAAGTTTCGTTCTAAGTTATTTTGATAGAGTTTAATCTGATCTTCAATCATTACCGTCAAACTCTATAAGTATACCTATTGGTGTGCGTCATTGTCAAATCGATCAATCAATACCTAAACAATGTCAAATTTTCAATTCCTACGGACAGAAAAGTATATAAATACTTTTTGAATGAAAAAATTTCTATGTACTAATAATAAACTCATCATGTCCTATCATTTGATATATATGGATCTTTCGAAGATGGCAAAAAAAGTTTTGCTATTGGACCCCGAGAGAGAATATGCGAAATTTTTGATTTTCATAAGAGATCGAACATATATTGAATGTAACAGATCCATTTACGTTAAATGATGCATTTATTATTTTTAGACATTGATTAGCTGGATAGCGCACACAATAAATGAGAAAGTTGCATGGTTGGTCGCCTTTGCTATGGAGGAGCAGTATCGAAGTTCGATGTATCAATGAGTTGCTCTATATAAGTAGCTTTTCAAATGAAGGATGGTTATCTTATTCGAAAGAGTCTTTTAATTAAATATTACTTGAAGACAAGTTGAAATAATACTTTGAAGATGCGTTCCAATAACATTTGGTACTTCACAATCAAGTAATGCTTCATAAAAATCCAAGAGATTTGTTGTATTTTCAGCCTAATAAAATTCGATTAAGTAAAACAAAACAAAAACGAATATAATGGATGATGCAATTTTTTAATTACCTTAAGATTAACAAAAAGATATTGTATAGTTTCATTAGCAATTGGTATAAGATCAACAATTGTTTGTACATATTGTTTTTGTTGAAGTACTTTAACAAGATTTGTTAAAATAATTAAAGCTTGTTCACAAACAATTATTGATGGTCGTGTTTTTAACATTGTTGATATAAGATTAAATGTATGTGGCCAATGTTCAAGTACAAATCGACCACAATATGTAGCTAATGTTGCAAATAGATACATACCTAATTCAAGTTGTTTTAAATCTGTTGATTGAACAAGTGTACCACATAAATGAAGATATTCTTTCCAACCAGTTATTTCAATTTTATGTTGTTTTTTTAATTTTTTTTTAATTTTTTCATTAATTTCATGTTGTAAATCTTGTTTAGCTATTGTACCAATTAATTCAAATAATGATTTACGTATACGTTGATTTGTTTCAATTTGTATTTGTTCAAGTAAAAGATGTTTTAATGTTTCATGAATATCTTTTGAAATTGTTGTTGATGATTTGGATAATTTACGTCGAAGTAATACAGATGCTAATATACGTATTTGTTCATTTTGTTCAGAACGTAATATATGAAATAATTGTAAAAGAAAATCATTTGTTAATGAAAGACTTTGTAATTGTTTTGTTGCTTGTTTAACTTTTTCAGTATCTGGTTCAGTTAATTGTTTAAGCCAATGAACTACTATTGATGATTCCATAATGTTTTTTGTTATCTAGAAAAGTAAAATATTCTAAATTTCAAGATGATATAATGACAATGATTCATTTTATAATCAAATCTGATACTTTCAAGACAAAAGATAGTAATCAGAAGTATGCCGAGCGAAGAGCATAGGTAATCTCAAAATTTTGTGAACCCTACCTTCTCAGTAGTCATCTTGAGGCATCTCGGATATGAATAGAATATTCAAAGCTATCTGCAATCGGATGAAGGGGATGTACTTGTCGTTTTATTGATACAGAATTAACAATACTAGAAAAATTGTATAAGTTTTCGTTCCAATAAGCATTTCCTATAGGGTTATGACCGTTTGATAGAATTAGTATCACAAACAAAATTTATTTAAAAATCGTCTTTTTTTCGTTTTTTGTGATGTTTGTAATTTTGTAAGAGAAGGTCGAAGAAATTAATTTGAGCTAAGTACTTAACACTATAGAAAAATATAAAAAATACCAAACTTTTCTTCTACCATCCTATGCTGCTTGTTTTTTTTTTGAGTATTCAGTATGGAGAGAGGGAATCATCTGATTTAACTGAAACTTTCAGGATATTTCAAGGATTATCAAATCTATTTGTAAGTAAAAGCTAAGATGAAAATTTCTTGTTTTTTATTTTTCTATGAATACCTTGCCATAAACTGAAAAATCAATAAAATAGCCATAGCTCTATACGAAATGTCTATGGGAACAAATTCATTTTTCGGCTTTTTCTAATCTCATTAAATCCTACTTTTGGATAATATAGGCAATAGGAGATAATATTTGTTTAAATAACGAATAAGAAATTCGCTATTCATCTCGGCTTTTTGTGTTAATTTTACTTCTAGTTTTATTCATCTATCATATCGTTTCATTGTTAATGATAATGAACTAGAATTTTTAATATATTTTTATAGAAATAATTTTCATAATTCTAATAAAAAAAAGAAAACATTGTCTTAAAGAAACTAAACATTGAATCATAAATAGTTCACTTTTTTTTCCCTTATTAAAATTTATCAAAAATCACCTATAAAGAAAAAAAAACCCAATATCACATAAAATAAAACATTGCCAAGCATTTGCTATTAATTTATATTTAATACGAAAAAAAAATTTACTAATCAGTTATTTTTGATTTAATTAGAAATATTCCATATGATAGGATACCACAAAGTGCTTGTTCAACATCACTAACATATGTTTGTAGTTCAGCACTTGGTGCTCTTGAACCTTAAGTTGAATAAAAATCAATGTGTTTTTTTTTCTAAACAAAACAAAAACGAATACATAAATAGTTTACCGATTGTAATAGTTCATCCTTTTAAAACTTTATTTATTAATTTTAAACCAGTAACAATATCACATTGAACATGATATTCCTAATTGTATTCGATAAGTTTCTTCTTCTTTAATAGTTGAATATAAATTACGTATTTGTTCAATTGAACTATTGAAATTAAAACATTACATTTTGTTTATAATTTTCAAATTGAAGTGTTATACCTATTGGTAAAACAATATATAAATCATTTTTGATCATTTAATAGATTTTCTATTTGTTTATCATCACTTAAGTTTTTTGATAATGTATTAAAGATTTATCATTTTCATCTTTAGTTACAATTGAACTAATATTCATTCTTTGTCGAGTTTTATAACTATGTAATGTTGAACTTCCATCATTGGAATCTTGAAGATGATGATGATGATGATGATGCTTTTCTTGATTATCGGATGTTATTAATATAATAAATATTAATCTATAATTTAAGAAAACAATAAAATGTAAGATGTAGAGTTGTTTTTCAAAGATAATTGTTCTTTCAATTGAAATAAAAACTGTGGGAGTTTAAAATGATTTCTTAATGTTCTAATCGTCTAGACATGAGAGATATCAGATTTTGTTCTCATTCCGGTCCAGTTGAAAAGAAAATTCTGTTTCGGTATTAGGCTTAAAATTCTCTGAAATATATCATCGAGTTTCTTCGTACAAAGTACATAAATTTGCCAAGTCACATACTAGTTAATATATATGGATGGGTATATACTAGTTTCTAAAGAACTTCTTCTTTAGAAATATTAATTAAAGCATAGTTGCCAGACGTTTTCGACAGAGAACAAAAGTGTAAAAGCTGCCTGACATCGATTTCTTTTTAATCATAAATAAATGAAGCGAAAAACTAGTTTAAACACTTGATGTTTGCACGTTGACACATGTGCTTTCCCATAAAATATCCAGTTCGACTTTGGATATTAATATTGTGTTGTGGGCGTAAAATAAATACGTATCACATTCAGGAATATTTCCTTGGTACTAAAAATCTCTATATATATAATGGTCAGTGTCTGTATGTTTCTTTGTGCCGAGTCAAAAAAAGGCTATAAGGAAGGAAGACTATAAGCGGGTAAGACTACATGGGCTATTAGCGATATAAGGATATCACACCGTAGGGTTTCTATGTACATAATGTCAGGTGTCTGTGTGTTACTAAGTGAAAGGTTACCGTGCAGTATGCACGGATTCTTGTCAGGTATTTTCTACTACTGTCTTTAAGTTTGAATAATCTTCCTGTTATATAGCGACCCATTTAGTCCCCAATGTCTCTCTCTCCCTCTCATTGTATTTTTAATTCGATATAAACAAGATTGTTTCCATTCGTCGTCAAAAAAAGAAAGAGAATTTTGATTCCATCATCAACGAAATAAATTTTTTCATAATCTATTCTACTGATTTATCTTTCGAACTTGAAATATCCATCGATTATAAAAAATAACATTAGAAATTATCATCTTTTCTATTTCTTTATTTCTCGTTTAAACTATACAAATAATAAAAGATTCGAAAATATAATATGACACAAACAGGCAGTAATATCAATTGTTTATTTTAGTAGACAAAAAGAAAAAAAAAAAGATAAATTTCTACATTATACAAAACACCAATATTAGAAAACTGAAATGAATATAAATACTCACCGGCGAACTAAAGGAATTTTCAAATACAAATATGAACGTATACATACAAACAAAGAAAAGAAATTTTTTTTTTTATTTTATTTTTTATGTATATTTGTACGAATTTGTCTTATAGCATGATCTAATTTAGTAAAACCTTCTTCAGCTTGTTCAATAGTTTTTCTTGTTGTACCACGAAATTTTTGCATAAATGTCTGACTTCCTTCATGATCATCTTCATCACCACTTGATATTTGTTGTTGTTGTTGTTGTTGTTGTTGTTGATGAGAACTTTCATCTCCTCTTAATTGATATGGTTGTGAACGAACTGATGATGATGATGGTGGTTGAAGATATTCATGTGCTGTTGTTGTTGTTGTTGATGGTGTTCCACCTAATTCACGAATATTATTATAAACAGCTGTACGAACATCTTCAAGTGAATCAACAAAATGTATTATATCGTCACATTGTTTTTCATAAGATTGTTGAATTGATTGATAAACATGTATAAGATTTGAACGTTGTTTTATCCAATCATTATAATCAGTAAATACTTGAACTAAATTTGGATAACATTCATCATTAGCAAAATGAACATATTTTTCATGAAGTTCTTCAAGATTTTTTCGACGACGAAAATGTGAATCACTTTGTAAACGATTATATGTACTTAATAAACGATCCTAGAATAATTATTAAAACATTATTTATATTTATTTAAATACTAATGTTTTTTTTTATCATTCAAGAGAGAAGACCATGAACTATCCACATATACCGAAATTCACCAATAGATCTTGGAAAACTTCAAAAAAACTCAAGACCGAGATAATTCATCATTACTATTTTAGTATTGTTAAAATTTCAAAAAACTTCTCCTACATAGTATAAGAATTGACATTTAGAAAATCTTTAAAACTGATCTCATGTCGTTTTAAAATTGAAAACAAATATCACCATTCGACTCAATATGATGAATTTTCTTGGAGTCTTCCATAGGTCATTGGCTGAAATCGAAGACCTCAGGAAAAATCCTTATAACTCTGTATTATGTTATTCTGATCAAAAGTTATTCAAAAAAAACAACAAACAGTCAAAATCATTGCTTTTTGAACACGAGAATAGATTACAAGAAGACATAGTAACATTTTCCTCAAATATAATGAGCGATCTCACATCCGACAGGACGGTTTTTGTTGGAAATGGCTCTTTTGTAGTACTAAATCTCTTCACGCAGTAGAAGACCTTTGTTAATTAATTGATTTCTCGAAAAAAAAAACCATTGTTTCTGGGCTTATTGAATTCTAAAAATTACACATTAAATCTGCAAAATTGTTTAAAGTAAAAACTATGAAAATAGAGAATCTATAATAGAAGGCGCCAGGATCTTTTATTATGGAAAAAGGGCTTTGATGCAAGTACATCTTATATATACTATTGAGATTTATTGAATACCAGAGTATTATACATATGTAAACAGCACAATCATGCAGTTTAGCAGTGTCTCTCACTATCGCCAAAGCAACATGTGTGATTCGTGTTGTATGTGTTTAAATCATCTTGATGAAAATAGATGAATAAACAAGTTTATAAGCAGACCTTTACATAGGATTAATCTAGAAGCAGATATTCTAAAATCTTGATTTAATATTATAGCAAATCATGTATCACCTCTCTACATGTATAGCGAACGCTTTTGATTGTAAGCAACAAAAAAAAAATCAATAGATTCGTGTATTGACTTTTATTGTTTGTCAACTTTTTGTTCTGCTTTTTGAGTTGTTGATTGACATATTCAGGTATAGCAGACCGGGAAGTTTCCCAATAGAACCATGCATTCTTTTAGAAAAAGAAATCTTTATACCTTCCGATGTTGACTACCTCGAAATTGAATCTATAATAGCATATGTATATCTTTAGATTTTCTTTTGTTTAAATGTACGAAAATATTCAATAATTAGCGAATCTCTCCTCTCTCATGAAGACTTTGGAAATTTTTTTTTCTTCTCTAAATCAACAACAACAAAAAAAGCGAAACAACAAGTTAAGAAAATAATGTGATAATACAAATCTCTAATCAGACCTCAATACTTTTAAGCTCTTCATTGTCTCACCAAATCCTACATGTAACATAAATATATAATCATCAAACAACGTCCAACAGTTGAAAATGTTTCTTCATGAAATATATTCAATATTAAAAATGAGATCGTAATAGTTTCTCTCGTATCTATCTAAAGAGAAAAGAAATTTCCTTATGTTATAAAGTTCGAAGACGAAAATCGGTAATACATCTGTATGGACAGATGTCTCTCTCTCTCTCTCTCTATTCAATTTCAACAGAAATCTTCAAAATCAACAATCATGGTACAAAATATTCGCTCATTTTTCGAGCCACTAAAAGACAACTAATTAGAATTCTTCGCTATTTTCGAACATATATATTCAGATTTTCATTCTGAGATAAGATTGAATAACTATTAATAAATATTTGTGAAAAAGTACAAAGCAAAATAGCGAAGAGTTCAATCAGAAGAACTACAGTTTTTTCAACATGGACTAGTGTTTTAACATGTATTAACTTATCTTCATGTTGACTTACTTTTTTAAAACTATCATTAAGATCAATTAAATCTTTAAGATATTTATCCGCACGATGAATCCATGATGCATAAGTTTTTGTATATTGTGATAACCAAAGTGTATTAGTAAATGGTGGTTGATCATCAATCATACCTAATTGACCATTAAATTCATTTTCAATTATTTCTAATATATCTTGTTCACATTTTTTTAATTGTTCATATGGTTGAAGATATGAACGTAAATAAATACGTAGACTTTGTTTAATAAGTTGAGATGGAGTTGCCGTTGATGAACGATGTGATGTAACTAATTTATTAAATATAATAAAATAATTTTAATTATAAAATAAAATAAATAATAATATTACCTGGTGATAAACTATTATCACTAGATGATGGACTATTATTATATAAATGTGAAAATCCAATTGATGGTGCTTCTCCACTTGTTGATTGTGTTCGACTTGAAGAATTATTTTCATTATTAGAATTAGTTGGTAAATTATTTGGTGATATTGATTGAGAATTAGTATTACTACCAATTTGATCAAGAATATTTTTTAATTCTTCAATTGCACGAAAAATAATAAGTTTTGAACGAATTAAACAAAGAAATTCTAATAAATTTGTTTTTAAATGTTGTTGCATTATTGTTGTTGAACATTGTGCAGTTTTTAAAATATTTTGATATTCTATTAATTGACCTTTTATATAAAAAAATAATCCAACCATATCATTACTCCTATCACATGCTGCAGCAACATCATTATATTGTCGTATTGGTTTTACTTTTGGTATATAAAGTATTGGACAATAGGAATCATCAGATTTAATTGGAGAAAATGTATAAAATACAAGTGGTGTTTCACGTGATGTTGGAATTGGTAATTGTTCACAAAATGTTTTTATTGACATTGGTTTTGTTTTTGATATTGGATATGGTACACTAGAATAATTCGAAATTTTTTATTAGAAAAAATGTATATATTTCGATTCTAAGAACTTCTCACATCAGTATTCAGACTTCCAAAAAAGAAAATTATAGAAATTTTGGAAGTGATACTTCTGAAAGCTTCGTTGCCTCAAAAAATTTTGGTAATTTCTTTAAACTTCCAAATTTTCAAGAATACTTTTCTATGAATTTACGTATTATTGGAAATTTCCGTAATTTCCTTTTTTTTTTTGGAAATCTGAACATACCTCGAAATAACTGATTTTCAAAATGATTTCATCTTATACAATATTGAAGAAAAAGATGTGCCCCTATCTCCTCTATCGATTGGTGAAAATCGCAGGTCTCTAGCTGATTACATTATCGAGTTATTCGAAAACAAAAAAACAGTGGAGCACATTATATTTTGAAATGGATAATAGGTTGAGAATTCAGTAAAACGATCTCGGTATATGAGAGATAAATCTAATTTGAGTTCAAACAGTTCAGATGATTCCTTCCTACTTGAAATTATAGTTCGTTTTAGAAAATAACATGGTTCAAACAATCAATTAAGAATAGTCTATAATAATACGTCAGAGTCGAATCAAACAACTCTAACAACTTATTTATAAATTCTCATCTATTTTTGTCTTACTTTTGAAAAAGACAATAATATTCTTTATGATCTTTATCATTATCTTGTTGTTGTAATTTATCATATAATTTCGTTATTAATTCTATTGGTTCAAAATAACTACATGTTAATATAAAACGTTTTAAATTTAAATAATAAATTGGTATTAAATTAAATATACGATCAGTTTCTTTAAAAAATTCTGAAAATCTCATTAATTTATTTCGATCAGATTCAAGTAAACGTTGTAATAAATTTTCTAATTGTTGTTTTAAATCATTTGATAAACGACATGATTCTGGTAAAGTTTTTGACCATTGTATTTCTCCACCAAGAGTATTTTCAACACCTATTTTAATTCAAAACGAAAAAAATCTCACTTAAAAAGAAAACAAAACGTCTAATACCAGAAATACATCCTGTTGGTTTAGTTTCTAAAATACGTTTCATAACATTTCGATCTTTTCGTGTACCAGCAAATGGTTGAAATGGAAGTTCACCTTGAATAATATAAAATTAAAAAAAAAAATAAAAGAGGATATTACAAACCAGTTGCACATTGATAAAGAGTAACACCAAGTGACCATAAATCAACTTCAAATGGAAAATCAACACGAGTTTTTAAAGCTGTTCGTAAAGCATTTGTTTTATTATCATGTACAGCAGCTCTAAATCAAGAAAAATAAAAAAAGAAATTATCAAAACAAAACTGAAATTAGAATTCTTTTCAGACAACTAGAGTCCATCAGATTCAAAATTTTCGGATCCGGATCCAATGAACTCATATATATCTGATAAAATTACTTTTGCAATTCACATGGGATTTTCTTTTATCATTTCAATAAGTTATTAATAAAAAAAAAAACTTTGTTTTTTCTTTTACCGATATAATTCCGGATGAATATATTCTTCGGTACCAACAAGTGATGTAAATGCATTTTCACCTTCATTAATAAGTCTAGCAACACCTAAATCAGCTAATTTATATGTACGTTCACCATTTATATTAATTGAAAGCATTATATTATCTGGTTTAATATCACGATGAATCTAAATATTTTGTTTTTTTACGAAAAATCTTTTTTTTTATAAAATCTTTTATTTTTCTTACTGTATTTTTCGTATGTAAATATTTTAATGCATTAGTTAAATGTTTAAAAACTAATATAAATTCATCTTCAATTAAACCATAACGATTTTCAGGTAATTCAAGTACATTATGTAAACTACCACCATTACAATATTCAATAAGTAAAGCTTCACGATTATTTATTAAATGTGATGAATCAAGCGATATAACAGGTTCTAATGCAATATAACGAACAATATTTTCATGATCAGTTGATTTAAGTATATCTAATTCATGATCTAATATAGGACGATAATCACGATTTGTTTTTCCATCTCCAAGTGGTGAACGAGAATTTGATGAAACTTGATAAACTTTAGCTGCAACTAATTCACCAGTTGATTTATTATATGCTTTATATACTTGTGATGTTGCACCATGTCCAAGTATATCTTGTGTAGCCCAAAGATGATTTGTTGTTTCTTCACACATAACTAAAGTAAATAGAAATAATTTGTATAATTTTTTTTTATAGATTCATTATTTACCGAGAAAGAGAGAGAGAGAATCAATTCTATGAGAAAAAAAAACAGAATGTTTCTTTACTCGGTAGTGAATAAGAAAAACTTTTTTTTCTTTTTTTGTCTTTTTTAAACATAGACAGATGTTTAGAGGCGGAGAACAAACATTCAATTGGTTAAATATATTTAGATAGATGTCCCTATTTTCACGAAAGATCGATTAAAGTATAGTATGCGAATCTCAATAAATTGATTTCAGTAGTAAAAATTTTTGATCAAATTTAGTCTTCAAAGAACTCGGAGTATTTTCGTCAGACATACACATGCAATGAAACTATACATAAATATTTCTTTATCCCGTCAAGTTTGTCTCGGGTCCGAAAATTTTGAATCCAACGGGCTGTAGTTGTAGCACTTCTATGGGCTGACAGAAGAACTTGTTGACATCAAAAATGATTGAATAGTAAATATTGCGTTCACGCTATTGAGCAATTTAATTGCCAAATGTCAATGTCCTTGTCTGTCTCTTCATTTTATGCCTAACTATATTATCATGATTACATTGATTCAAGCCTTTCTTGTATGAAAAATATTTATGATATATATCTCTTTGTTTTAATTTGTTATTTCGTACAAGAACTTGTTATCTTTATAGAAATAAATTAAATGAACAACTATAAATAGAATTATACACTAGTACATATTCGAAAAAAATCAGAAACATCAATCGATCTAGTTTGGTCTGCAGACATTCCGAACTAGATCAAAGCAGAAATAAGTGATCTGTTGGGAGGTCTAGAACTAATAAATACAATTTGTCATCCGATTGATAGATTTCAGCATTGCATTGCAATTTTTTTTTACAAATATCAATAGTTTTCGGCGACTAAGATTGTTTGCCTATTATATATTTTCAACAGTGAAATATCTGTTTCGTCATTCAAATTTTTGTTCCCAGTAGATTAGATCAGTAACTCCTCTTCCGAAAGTCACCATTGCTATATGTTGCAAACTTTGTGTGTGTACAAAGAAGCACAGACTGTGTTACATAACCTAAACGATATACAAAACTTGCATTCGATTCACATCTTCTTTTTTGAAAATGTTCATTCAAAAATTCTTGTGCAAAAAAAAAAAGTCCAATAATTATTCTATTGAAATAACATCGTTCTATAATATGGAATATATTTCAATATCAATAATCATACACTTCAATAAACACACACATAGAAAGAGAGAGAGAGAGCACAGAAAATTCAAGAAAACACAAAAAACCAAGAATTAATAAATAAAATTCATTTGTTTTTTTTTATTTACAAAATATATCGATATATAAGTAAAGTTGACTAATTTATTTATTGAATAATTATTAAGCATTTTTAAGTTCAGATCCAATTTTATATGCTGTAATTTTAGTCCAATCAATTTTAGCTTTTGTTATTGGTAATTGACGACGTAATGCTTTAAATGTTGAATCAGACATAAGTTGATAATTTTCATTAACAGCTTGCTAAAATTAATACCAATATATAATCAAAATCAAAGAAAAATCTGTTACTAAACTCAATAAAATGAACTAGTCATGATTCAGATTTTGCTCAAACTTTTTTCATTGCAAAGGAACGACATATTTGAAATCAGTGTGAAATTCATTATTACAAAATTGCTCTGTAAGAATCGAAATTTCTACTTCTATATTTCAATATTTCTTTACATACTTGATAATTATTTTCTGCTTGACGTATAATTCGAATAATTTCTTTTGCTGTTATTATTTCATCCTATAAAAACAAAAATTAATAAATAAAATCATATGAATAAAAAAATCATACTTGAAGTTGAATGATTTCTGTAATATTTTTATTACTAACTAATTGAACATTACCATCTTCAAAATAATGTATCTTAAAAAAACAAACAAAAGAATTTTCAAAATGAATTTTTTTGTGTTTTTTATTAATCAAAATCTTATTTCTTTACTTGAACTTTTACATGTCCAATTAGTTCACATGTAAATTGACCTTTACTAAAAGTTAATGACCAATTTGATCGCCAACGTCCATTCCTATATAACAAATTATAAATCTTGAAATAAAATAAAATAAAAAATATACCAAAAATTTTTTGGTTCAAATTTATGACTTTCAATAAAAGTTGATAATGTAATTGTATCTGCATCACTTTCACCAATAACTATACAAGAACCATATGTATAATGTTCTTTAATATAATCTGTAAGTTGTTTTTCTAATGCTAAACGCCATGTTTCAGATTTTTCATCTGGTTGATAATGTTCATAATCAGATGATTCACGACGTAAATGATCAAATCTAAATTAATTTAGAATAAATGGAAATAAAATTTCCATTTCAAAAAAACAAACAACATACTTAAAAGTTTGTCTTGTACGTGGATCATAAAATCGACCATCACCTAAATCATTGCCATCGGTTATAAGACATTTGTATTCGGAATTTTGAATCTTCGTTGGAATATATTGATCTCGATTATATTCACTAAAAGCTCTAAAATTAAACAAAAAAGAAAATTGAAATTACCAGTATTCCTATCAAATTAGAGGTTTCGATCGCATAGTTTTTCGAGTAGAGAGCTGATCATTTTAAACTACTGATTATTGATTGACGAGTAAAACGCTCAATATAGAGACAGGTCTTAACAAGAATAGTTTATTGTAAAATTTTATGGTTTTTTTATTTGCGTCTATTCTGAAATAATAGTATCGAATTTATCGTTCTATATAAGTCATGTAAATGATACGCTTTTGTCACAGTTGTATGTAGAACTGCCAGCTTCACACGACTCGAATGGAATATATAATTATTTCAAAAAAAGCAAGGGTATAGAATAAGGAATATAGCTGAAAAAAATTCATCTACTAATTATTTTCTTTATGCAAGGAAATGATCTGTAACGTTTACAGTACTCTACTTTTATTTGTTTCGCGTACATTTGACCATTTCTAATTGAGACTATACAAATAATGGAACTTTTAATACAGCAGTAACTGTATCAGTTATCATGGAATTGCAGCTTGGTATTCATTAGAACTGGGGATAGGACAGAAAACATTGTCCTATGTCCAATTCTAGCATCCATGCATGATTCATATGATTGAATATGCCTTTTGCAAATGTATTCGAATAGAGAATTGAATAAATATTTGTACTACGATCGATCACTATTATACAATATGTGTGTGTAGCCTCAGAACACTTAAGTGCAATAAACTAAAGGTATACTCATAGTTTTACGTAGTCTCGGCTCAACAAGTAATTTATTAATTGGAAGACTTCATTTTTATAATATATAAATTACTTACTGTGAAATCGATCGTCGAACTAATGAATCATCATTTAGAAGCGTTCGTACATCTATAAAGAATTTTATATTTTTCCTTTTTGTAAATAAACTTAATGATTTAATTTACTAACCATTAAAAACTTCATTAAATTCACCCGGTGGTGCATGAGTAATAAAACGTCGTGCAATTGATGCTTTTTCTTCATCAGTTAATGTTTCATCCATAATTGAAAGTATTCTATCTGAAAAAGAAAAAGAAAAAGACTAGATTCTATTGATAAATATTATTTCAAATTGTATTAGATATTTAAAAATCAATTTTTTTTGTTTTTTATATTATCAAAATATATTCATTTATTCGAAATACATAGCTAATAAAATTTATTAATAAATATCGATAGATTTTCCTTTCGAAATTAATTTCAAATAAAACAATTCTTCTCTTTTTACAATATTGAATGTCTATTTATGATAGTACACTTAAGATTTTATACGAACATATCAATATTACTTTCATAATTTTGATTGATTTTTTTTTGTCTATAACAAAGATTATTTAAAAGCTTCTATCAATATTTTTGTCAAATTCATAATCTGAAATTTTGTTTGTTTATCAAACTATCTGATTTCAGTAGTAATATAAATCTAATTCAGTATTTAAATAATCAACCTTTTGTAAAATTACAAGCGAGTAAATAAATAATAATAATAGAAACATGATTCATTATGAACAATTATGTTCAAGTCAATGAACGAATGAAAAACAAGAGCCTAATGTAATATGATCTTGATTACTCTCTCCCTCTGTCGGAAGAAATATTTTCAATCTATTTTTTTGAATCTATATGAAATATACTTATCTAGAATGTATTAAAATTTTTTTCTCTATAAGAAATGATAATACAAAATTCCATTGAATTATTTTAATGATTTTTCTTATAAGGCTAAAACTGGAAGCACTATATGATGATCAAATGTCATATTATTTTAAGAAAAATAAAAAAACTGAAAATAACATTAAAAAATATTTTCTTTTTATTTCACACAAATTGTTGGCACGATATACTTTATAAAAAAATTGAAGAAAAATCATGTCTTTATGAGTATACTAAGTTCAGAAGATGTGCAAGAGTATTCTACTGACAACTGACTCAATGTACGAGTATCTTGAACTCAGTACTCGTACGAGAGATAATTAAATTCGGCGAATAAGAAGGTCATCAATCTTTAGATATGGTACTTGAGATTTCTAAAGTTTTGTTTCTTCTATTGTTATAATGGACAAAAACGATATCAAGAAGGTCTTCAGCTTTTGTCATGTAAAAAAAAATCATCAGTATAATGCAAAAGATCCATTCGTGCAAAAATATTAGAGAATTTAAGAACGTATGTTTAAAAAAAATGATTTAAGGTTTTATTTGTAGTAAAATACTCGATGTTACAATCATTTTCATTCACCTGGTGGTATATCTCAAAATATCATTTATTGAAGCTTTTTAAAGAATAAATTCTGAAAATATGAAAACTACAGAAACTGAATGTAGAATACGTTCAATAATTTTTTTTTATAGAACTCACTACTTAAATAGAAATGCACATTCGTGATTGTGTCTGTAAATTCATTCAAATATTTTGTTTATTTTCTTTGCATGTGGTTTCATCAGACATATTTAAGTTGAAAAAAAAATAAAGATTGCAACGATAAGCATTGTTTTATTGCTTTTATCTTTTGTTTAATTGATGAAAATGAGACAAATATGTATGAAGTTCTACAAACAATCTAGATTAGTCATTAATCGAAATAATCCAAATCAGCAAAAACAATATTCATCTGTTTTGTGTTTTTACAAAATTATTATTTGAAAATAAATTATTTTTTAGATAATTTAGTGTACGTATGTGGATAAAATGAATACCTACGCACAAAGAAAAGAGAGTCTAAACAACTCAATTTGACATGAAACCTGACAATATTATATCGATTATTCTCTGGTAAAATGTGACAGAAGAAAAAAAAATCGAATAAATAATGAAACAATAAGAAGATAATTGTTAATACTGAATTGTAATAGAATTGAACTTTTAAAACTAAAAATAAAAAGATCATAATTTGTTAGTAGACCAATGAAGAAAATCATAATGGTAAATATGCAAAAAGAATCATTTGTATTGTTTTTCTATCTTGAGCTATGAGTGAATATAATTCTCGTATATTGAATTAACGTAAGTAAACACAGATGAAATAGTCTCTAATCAATATATTACTTTTCTTATATTGATCAGTCGCAAAATGAAAATAATGGGTCAGTAATGGATCATTACTAAAACAGTACCTTTAATTAACGACTTATCAATAAAATAAAATAGATTTACATTTTTGATAACAGGATTGATGATATTCTAGTCGAAATAGTGTCAAGTAAAAATAAATTATTCTTATAAAATTCATTTTATAAACATTACTGACAAATTTTTGCATGTCATAAACAATATCTGAGTATTTTTACACTAATGTATTTCTTATGAATTCGAATCATTGTATTAATCGATGAACTATTCATATTAATATAAATCAAATATATTTCTATTCTTAAATCAGAATAACGTTGACTGAGAATAATTTTTAGTATAGTATATTCCTAATGTGTATAATACAAAGTACGTGGATAAATGTTTACATACAGATATTCATTACTTCGAATGTCCGTTAAAACGATTCTGACAAGAAATCAGGAAGCGTAACTTCAATTCACGATAGAGCTACTCTTTTTTTCCGTTCCATTGTTATTCGATGTCGTTATTATAAAAGTTTTGAAAGTCTTCATTACTTTCATGTTCAAATATTGATGTTGTCTCTTCAATTTCCAGAAATTTAATAATAATTTTCGAAGAGAAAAAAAATCAAATTTCAATTCTTATATATCAATCGTTAGAAAGAGTGTCAAAAACTGCTGTTGACAGTAAACATTCAAATACGAATAGTCATTAGCGGTCAAATCAGATATAGCGTAGAGATGTTCATACTTTCAAATGTTCAGTGAAAACACAAGATGTTTCTCTTGCTAACAAAGTAAAGATAACAGAAACTGATATGTCATATGTTATTTGTCTACTCCATGAAATATTATTTACGATGCGATATCGAAACGATGATATATATATCGAGCGACACTTTTTGATGAATATGATTCGTCAAAATTGAATGAGATTATGTCATCATTAATAAAAATATTCATTGATTGTGCTATTGATCGTCCTTCCTCATTCATTTTCTCGTTATTTGTGCAGATTAATTGCTAATCTACTGGAAAAAAAATAACTTCGCTGTTGAAAATTTAGCTAAAGACACGAATCTTTACTTCGATTATTTAGTATTGTTATCAAATATGTATTTGAAATCTATTCAAAACTTTTTTGAATGTGTTTTGATTAAAACCCTTAAGAGCCGAGTGTCTCTTTCAAGGGGCATTTAAATAATTGTAATCAAAGTCTGATAAAAACCAATATTTTTCTGGATTGATATGACTTTCGTGGCCATACCTAGACCAAAATGTAGTATTCAGGTGGCTGTCGGGCGTCGCAAATCACCTTTTAGGACTGATGACTTTTTTCAATAACTCTTTTCTTCCTTAAAGTTCTGTCTATTCGGAAATGCGGCTTACAGTGTAGTTTATTTTACATTACACGCTTCAGCATATTATCAAGCTATTCAATGTCAGCGTTCTAGAATTTTTTAACCGATCTACTGACAGTTTATGCCGTGATCAATAAAACACTCCTTGTGTGAGACATTCAGCCTCATAGAAGAATCAAAACAATGTATTTCTAACATGAAACTTGGCTCATACATAGTCCTAGTAGTGTTTAGGAAGTTCCAAAATTTTCAGGAACAACGGTTGTTTCTTTTGCGCGATACAGAATGTTAAAGTTTTTAGCAATTTTTAGCAAAATTTAGCTGATTTTTGGATTTTGAATATCTCAGCAAAAAAGCATCCATTCTAAGTGAAAATTTCGAAGCATATTAAGTATTATCAAAATTATCTAAAAGCAAAGTTTCAGATTGAAATTCCTATTTTTTTTGGATTTTACAGGGATGGATATGCCTGTCAAAGGAGGTTGTGTAGGTTCAGAATAAGAGGAAGGTAATTATTTTTAACTATAGTACGAATATACTAAGGGTCCATAATCTCTGTCTTGCTAATTAGATTTTAATTTTTGTAAGCGGAAGCCACTTCAGCTCTTAAGGGTTAATGTGTACAATTTTGCAACAATAATATTTGACCTTGATGCAAGTTGTAATTACTCCTACGAAAATTTATTAGGAAAAATACCATACAAAACAATTCTTTTTGATCTAGCTAAAAACGTACTTGATCTTATTCCTAATAGGTTATTGGTGAATGAATAATGAATTCTAAATAACTTTATTTTTCGTTAGAAAATAGGTACATGCAATAGTCTGACATATTCTTATTAAGACATATCGATCAACACTTTATTTTGATAGTAATAATATTTAATCGAAAAATGCTATATTTGAAAAGTCAATCTGAATAATCGTATTCTATACCAAGTTCTTCCGAAAGTCGTTCAATATTCAATTCCATCTTCCATATATTTCTATGCCCGAAAGGTAGACATTGTCTGTAGATAGCTAATGCTTGTTGATAGTAATCAAGTGCCAGCGTAGATATATGAAGGTTTTCGTAAATCTCACCTATGTTTGATAAACTTTGACCAATGTCCTCATGATCTGGTCGAAGAACTTTGAGACGCATTAACAAACAATTCTGTTCATATATAAGAGAGAGTTCATATTGGCCTCTCGTTCTTTGTACCTGTGACAAACACTCAAATATGATAGCAATGGAAAGATCGTCTGAAGGTAGACTGACTTCTTTAATTAATAAACATCTTTCTAAATATTCAATAGCGACATCGAATTGAGACTTTCTATTGAAGTTAGCAGCAATCCAGTATAGGCAATCAGCAATTTCAATATAATCATTGGGATAATATTCTTTGAATATGGTTAATGCTTGTTGATAAAAGTCGAGAGATTCATCATATTTTGTTTGTTCCAATAGAGTATAACCAATATTCTTAAGATTAGTAGCAATTCTAAATTGATCACTAGACAAATTACTCTTGAGAACTTCCAATGCTTGTTTTTGAAGGACGAGAGCTTCATCATATTTGCTTTGTTCTTTTAAAGTTTGAGCTATGTTATTCAGACAAGTAGTAGTATTCAAATGATTGGATGAATCCTTCTTATAAAATGTCAGTGCTCGATAATAAAAATCGAGAGCTTCATCATATTTTTCTTGATTCCTCAATATGTAACCAATAGAACCCAAACAAGTAGCAAGATTTTCATGATTAGATGGATAATATTGTTCATAAATTGTCACTGCTCGTTGGCAGAAATTGAGGGCTTTATCATACTTTCCTTGAATATTTAGAGTCATACCAATATATACCAGAGTGTCAGCAATATCAATATGACCAGATGGGTAGCAGTTTTCAAGAATTTTTAGAGCTTGTTGATAACAGTCGAGTGCTAAATTGTATTCTTTTTGATCAAATCGAATGTGACCGATGCAATTCAAACTATCTGCAATTTTCTCATGACAAGAGGAAAATTTTTCTTCTCGAATTGTTAATGCTCTTTGTTGAAACTCAATAGCTTCTTTGTACTTTCCTTGTTTGCTCAGGATATCAGAAATATCGATGAGACAATTAATCATATTAACAGGATTTGATCGGCAACATTTTTCGTAGATTTCTAGCGCTCGTTGATAGAAGTTGAGAGCTTCATCATATTTTCTTTGTATAGTCGCAATATTAGCAATGTTGCTCAAACTATAAGCAATATTTACGTGATCAGAAGGATAATGGTGTTCTCGTATTATCAATGCTTGTTGTTGAAACTCGATAGCTTCATTGTACTTTCCCTGATTTTTAAGGATATTGGCAATGTTTATCAGGCTATTAGCAATGCCAACATGATTAGTTGTATCAAATTTCTCTTGAACTGTTAATGCTCGTTGATAAAAGTGAAGACCTTCGTCATACTTTCTTTGCCCATATAAAGCATTTCCAATATTGCTAATAACGGTAGTGATGTCAGCATAACTATATGAATAAAATTTCTCTCGAATAACTAATGATCGTTGATAGAAATCAATAGCTTCATCATATTTCTCTTGGCTATATAGGACATTACCAATAAAGTTCAGACTCTTTGCGATGTCAACATGAGGAAATTCATAATGTTTTTCTTGAATAGCCAAGGCTTTTTGATGAAATTGAAGAGCTTCATCATACTTCTTTTGTTTATATAGAGTGTTACCAATGGAGGTGAAAGTATGAGAAATTTCGATGTAATTATCAGGATAGAAGTTCTCTTGTATTGAAAGTGTACGTTGATAATAGTCAATTGCTGCATCATACTTTTCTTCATTGTACAGAACATGACCGATACTATTGATGGTATCAGCTATGAAGACACTGTCTGATGGATAATATTTCTCTTGAATTTCTAATGCTTTTTGATGATATTCAATCGCTTGATCGAATTTTTCTTGTTGATGAAATATTGCGCCAATACAAATGAAGGTTATCGTAATGCTCACATGACCATTTGGATAATATTTCTCTTGAATTTCTAATGCTTTTTGGTAATATTCCATTGCTTTATTGAATTTTTGTTGTTGATGAAATATTGTGCCAATGAATATAAGAGTTATGGCAGTGTTTACATGACCATTTGGATAACACTTCTCTTGTAGTTCGAGCGCTCGCTGTTGGAAATCAATAGCCTCATTGCATTTTCCTTGCATATTTAGGATGTTGCCAATATTGTTGAGACTTAAGGCCATTGAGACATTACCCGAAGGACAATAGCTCTCTTGCATCGTTAGCGCTTGTTGACAATAATCTAGAGCTTCATCAAATTTTGATTGACTAAGTAGTACACTAGAGATGTAATTCAGAGTGTCAGCGATGTTTGCATAATAAGATGGATAATATTTCTCTTGCATTACTAATGCTCGCCGATGAAAATCAAGAGCTTCATCATACTTTCCTTGTTCCTTTTGTATATAGCCAATATTGTTTAGAGTGGTAATAATGTCCTTGTGACCAGAAAAATAATATTTCTGTTCAATTTTCAGTGCTTGTTCATGAAACTCCAGAGCTTTTTCATATTTTCCTTGTCCATAGTGAATATTTCCTATTCCACCAAGACTATCAGCTATATCGACATGACCAGATGGATAATACTTTTGTTGTGTTACCAATGCTTGTTCATAAATCTTCAAAGCTTCATCATGCTTGCCTTCGAGATAGAGAATATAACCAATGTGGTTGAGGGTGGAGGCAATGTTTACATGACTATTTGGATAATATTTTGTATAGATTGATGTCGCTCGTTGATAGAAATCGAGAGCTTCATCATACTTTGCTTGATATATAAGAACCTGACCAATACAGGGAAGACTAACAGCAATATCGACGTGAGGAAATTGATAATATTCTTCGAGCATTGCTAGTGCTTGTTTATGAAAGATAAGTGCTTCATCATACTTGGCTTGTCGAAAGAGGATTTTGCCGAAGTTACGAAGATTTGTAGCAATAGGCACATGACCATCCAGGTTAGTCTCACTCAGTTGTAACCAACTGGTTTCTTGTAAGTTTCGGCATATTTTCTGTAACGGAGTTCTACTCGACTGTTCATCTATAGACTCCATTCTATTTGCCGCATTTTTCGAACGGAACCAACGAGAAGTTTCTAAGAGTTTTCTAGTCCAAAGCTGTCGAGAACATGATTGAAATAATCCACCTGAATTCAATAAAATCGATCGGAACAACACGCGAATACGACTCAGCACATTGCTGTGTTGGCGATTCCGTGGACTGGACCTATTGACTTTGGTAGAAGAATAATGTTTCTTTCGCATTGCCAATGCTCGTTCATAATAATCACACGCTTCTTCATACTTTCCTTCTAGATAGAAAATCTCACCAATATTGAACAGTATATCAGCGAAGTCATTGAGTCGTGTTGGCTTTACATTCATCAGTCGTTCATAAGCACGATGATAATACTTCCGTGCTTCACTCCATTCTCCTTTCCACTGAAGAACTTCACCAAGACTAGATTCAATTTTTGCAAGATCTTCATTGTTGTTATTCGAGTTGTTCAATAAATGTTGAAAGAAGTGTTGTGATTGATCCCATTGACCCATATCACACATCAATCTTCCAAAGAGAATTCCGATGCTTAGATCTTTCATTTGGCGATTTAAGTCTTTAATATATTTTTCTTTGATAATTTGACCTTCATTTGAGGCATTCATTTTAATTAACCACATGTCTTCTTCCATTCTGACACTCTCCAATCGAAAAGTGGCATTTGAATCGAAGAGAATTTCTTGTTGTTCTTCAGATGGAATTTCATTGAATTGAATAATATCAGCAACAATGACATTCTTGCTAATATGTTGTGGATAGCATTGAATTTCTAGGAGAACAGAAATGAGATCAGTTTGTTTCGACGATATCATCGCTTGTCTTAATGCAGTTGAACGAAAAATAGTTGTTGTGAAAAATCCATTGATTGAAATCAGTTTACCTTCATTTTCTTTGAATTTTTCGATTTGATTACTCGTTAATTTCATTCCTCGATAGGTGAGTAGTATTTTTTTATCAGACTGAATCATCTTTTGATGTTCCCGAATGAGACTTTCTGTAAGATCTTTCATAAAATATCGAAATGTGTAGAGTTGATTGAAATCTTTAGTTCTTAATGCTTTTTTAATCATTTTGTAGAGAAATGATTTTTTCAAATACCATTGAAGAGCTTCTTTTGATCGATATTCATTTGCAAACTTCTCAATCATCTCTAACTCTTTGATATTATCTTGATAATAGGAACGACATGCATCGATCATTTCTTGTTTAGCTTTTTCATCATATGTTAATTGAAAGAGAACATCATGATAAAGTTGAAACCAAAGAAGATCAGCTGTTTGTTTTGATAGATCTTTTGTTAAGTGTTCATCTTGATTGAAGAAATTGAATGTTTGTAAATGTTGATTGAAAAAATCGACTTGTTCTTGAATTGATAAACATAATAAATCGAGTTCATCATAGATACCAATAAGTTTTGAATGTTCAAAAGCGAAATGTTCACGATTAACTTTTTTCCAATTGAAGACAAAGATGTTGTCAATTTGAGAGAGAGTAGCAATATGAGATAATATTTGTGATGCATCATAAATTGAAGAGATGAAAAAATTTTTTTCATTATGAATCGATTCAATGAAATTAATGCAAGGTTCAAGTTGAGTGTGAAATACAATATAATCATTGATTTGATGTAGTTGTTTCTTCGTTTGTTCTACATGATCATTTGAATCCATTTTTGAATCGAACCAAACTAGAGTGATGTCCTCTTTATTGTTAGTTCTGTCCATCATTTCTGATAAATTTTCTAGAATAATAAAATGTGTTGCAATAGATGGTGAAAACAATCGACTTTAAATTTTGCAATAATGAAGAAAACCGTAAATTCTCACGATACAAGAAATGTGTGAATGTTCAGGTTACGTCTCATGTCATCGGCATCGGTTTGTTCTATTGTATTCCGAATGGTTTCCGACTCGAAACATTCTGTCATATTGATAACTTAGTAGTTCTAGTCGGGAAAAAATTGACCAAAGTAGAGAATAATCGGTGGAATTCGGTTTCAAGGAACTTATTATTGCTGAGTTTTCAAGAAAGATCTAGGTGATCGTTCATTTTGCGATACATGTCCCGAGAAGAAAGAAGAAAAAGTCTCACTCATGCTCTTGAATATTTCATCATCATGATAAAGTCACATATTAGAGAAGTGTTTAGATGGTTTGAGAATATCTAATCAATTTTCTAAAAACCTTATTTTATATTAATGATGATATATTCAAGAAAATAAAAGGAAATATTTTTCTTCAAGGATATGTATTTGAAAAACAAAAATTAAGAAGGACAAGTCTGGAAGTACAATAATCAGAGACTCAAGCATTTTGGACAATTATTCCTAGCATTTCTACGACACTTAGTATTTCAATACAAATATTAGAGAGTTATTAAAGTCAATCTAATTCTTAAAAATAGTAGTAGATAAGGCTTGCCTAAGATGTCGAAATGTACAGGATTAGGGTCGAAAAAAAATATTGATTCTTGCTCATATAATTATTAGTAAGCAAAGAAGAAAGAAGCAATTCCTGTCGTCTCTTCATATGACTCCATTTACCATTTAAAATGAGACTAGTAGAATGAGTAATGATATTTAAATATGTGCATTGATCGATTTTGTGACGCATACATCATTGAAAGGAAGTGACTGTTTTTTTTTTCAATTTCGATGTGTTTATGTATATAAAGGAAGTATCTTTTCTATCGTAACGTGAATAGACTATGTAGTAGGGAGACCTCGTGCTATTGATTTTATTCTGTTCTTGTGCAATATCAATACTCTCTCCTTTTCTTACTCATTTTCCACCTTTATGCATATGATAGTCTCCTTTAAGCGTATAACGATGCATGTTTGTGAGCAATAAATTTATTATGCAAATTTTATAAAAACAAATTGAGAGGTTTCAAGTTTGACTAACCAATTAGATGGAAAATTAGTAGAATTAGTATCAACTACTTGGAAGGATGCTGATTATCATTCATTGACATCATTGTTAAAGAGTATACGAATTTCATGCATGTACGAAATGTTTTCGATTCTATTTTCATAAAAGAGATATATTGCACATTAACTGTAAACGAATTTGTGAACTAAATCGTGTAATTTGAATTAAATTGAAGAGTGAACAATAATTCATGTCTAATCAATTTTATGATCTAATATTCGAGTTTATAATTAAAAGAAAGACCAGAAAAGTATGTGAAAATAACTGCAACGAAGCTCA